CCTGTAAACTGGATCCACCCACGGATGGCGTCGGGAAGGCTTGGACTAACTGGAATGGACCTTCCTTAAATTTCCTTCTCCTCTTAATAAACTCTAGAAATTTCTAGCAGCACCAGTAGTCTCTGTTGTCCTCAAGTTTCGATATTTACATTTTTCTCAAAAGAGAATTTTTCACCTCAAGTTAAAAGAAGCTCCCGGGAGCAGAGAGCTTAAGGATGGGAATTATGACAGGCAGAGGCTGCAGGTGCCTAAAGATGCTGGCTTTACACACCTGGGGCCAGTGGTCCTGGACAGCGCTTAGCCCTGACTTATGGGCTTGTCCACAGAATACTCAGAAGGACACAGAAACTCAAAGACATCCCCTCCACAAAATTATAAATTGTGTCCAAGAAGGCTAATGTGCAAAAGATATTCTCTAGCAGTAGGAGTTATTACAATAAAAACGAGACAGACAGACAGACAAAACTGAAGGCTAGCTGCTGTCCATTTAGGAAACTTATTAACATTGCTGTCTTTAATTACAACCATGAACTACAGAGGTAATACATTTACATTCTATTATGCACTGTTAGATTCTTCCTACATACTCGAAGGAGAAAAATGGGCATCCTATGGTAAATTAGCAAAAGTACCATGTAGAAATTTAAATTTGCACAGTTTCTGACTATCTGATATAAATCGTGTCAAAATTTAGTCTTCTGTGGAATAAACAATTTGCCTTGTTGCTGAGAGGTTTTTTACTCTTGGTTTAAGATTCACAGTCAGTTTCGATTCATCAATTCTGCTATCACTTGTTCAGGAGTTTGCAAAAGAATATGCTTCTGTACTGTCAGGGTTCTAAGTGTCAATTATGCTGTAAATTTTGGAATAAATCTCTTCAGCCAGTTTGAATCATGCAGGAGGTTAAAATATATCCTTTGACCCTCAAAGCAATAACGTAAGATTTCAGGAGGAAAATCCAATTATTTTACGCAAGGAAGAAATGGTGGCTCTTTTGAAAAACTAATTCAAAAATTTTGGGATGTGATTGAAAAAAAAAAAGAAAGCTTTTTCCAAGTTTGAAATTGCCAAGCACCCAGCTGGAGTATTGGTTTTGCACAAGGCCCTGATTTTGCTGATGACAGATTTGGACAGGGCACAGTGGGAGAGAGAGCTTTCACATTCTCTTCCTGTCACCTCAGAAGGATACAAAAAGGTGCCTTTATTAGTCATTCTATCATTCCTCACATGGTGTGTTTAAAAAGAAATGTAGTGAAAGAAAAATATGAAATAAACACTAGTCCCTGTGTGAAGGGAGCACACCTGAGGAAAAGTGTGAATAAATTGGTGAAATGTAAACCAGGTTTTCACAATACCGTTCATTCTCTCTGCTCACACTGGAAATATTTAGGATTACTTTTCAAGCTTTTGAATATACTTCTTGGTGGGAGAGAAAAAGTGGGTCATGTTCATGTTTTGATAATAATCTTAAGTTTTTTTTTCAAACGATTTTATTTTGAACCTATCTGACAAGTGCATCATTATTGATCATTAGAGTTCATAGAAAAATAGCCCTGCTATTGTTATTTTATAAGAGCTGGGGTGATAGCATGCATGTGCACATCACTGCCCAAGACTACTACTAGTCAAAGGGTTTTACTATCTTCTGACATTTTTCAGACTGCTGCTCCAGATGCCTCAAATAAGCTGCCTACATTACCTCTAAAGGATATGGTAAAAAGTGAATCAAATACAGTCTACCAATCCCCGAGTCTCTTCAGAAGAGGCCATGAGAGACTCTCAGAATGACATCTTCAAACAGGATACCCTCAGGCTTGATTTCTGAGCTGAGGGCAGATCCTCAAGTTCAGGCTTTGAAACTGCTTCTGGAGAAGCAGCCTGAGGATGGCAAGGTAGCATGTGTGGGTGTGTGGTGTGTGGAGTGGGAATGGGAGAAGAGTGAGCAGGACAGGTGTGCTGCAGGCTCCACTGATGAGCCATTTTCAACAAGGATGGACCGGAAGGCAGCTATGGTCTGCTCACTCTGAAATCCCACTCGCTGGCTGAGGTTAATGACTTTCTAAGTATTCATGGAGATGAGGTCTGACCACATCCAGAAGGCCAAGATAGAGGCAACACATCACTTGCCATCCTCATCCTTCGCATATACCTTTTCAACCTCTACCTCCTGCAGCCTGGCTAAAAATGAAATATCGTAAACTAAAAGAAAGCTGAAAAGAAATACCCATTTTATTTGGAAAATTGCTGGGTAATTAGAAACTTACCATTAAAAAGATTCTAAAGCTAGCTCTGAGGCTGATGCTGTTGCCTCTTCATTCCACTGTCAGCTAGAATCCCAACTCGGGGCTCTCAGCAGAGACATTAACTGTGTAGTGTGTCTCATAGGTTTTGCCCTAGCACAATGCATTACCTAACCCCCTGTGGCATTCTTGATCAGTATTTTTCTATCTTTAAAGCCACTGACGAACATGCATGCACACACATGTGTGTGCATTCTGGAGAACTTGCTAGAACACTTCATTCTAAAGATGGATGGTAGGTCCTTGCTGCACTGACTAATGTGACGCAGCTTCTAGGGCCAGTTCTTTACCCTATATCCTTTCCCCCTGCCAAATATCCCTTCTCACAGAGCTTCTGCCTTAATCTCTGGTAGTCAGGGACTGTTGTTCTGCCATAATCACACCCAATGTTCATCCTTGGAGTTTTATATGGTTCTCTTTACTTGGCATTTTTTCAGATTTTGGTATAACAAAGACAAGTCCTTTGTGATGATTTTGAATCAAACAGCAAACAGAACTAAAATCACTTATGAACACAAGTCGGGGTAGATGGGTTGTTGGAAGAAAATAGTATTATCAATGTGAAGGTGAGCTAGCCCCAGGTAACTGGATTTGCCTGCTTGATCTCACCACTCTCTGGAAGTCATAACCCACACTGAAGAAGGTAACCATCCCTGGGACAGAACAGAGCTTGACTAAGGGTCCACAAGTACTGTCCCCTGTGGGTGGACTGATTAATTTTAATTGTGAGCAGATCAGTTTTCTTTCCCCACTTCATTTATGGCCTTACTTGGATATGGGAGCTTCTCATTTCCTGTCCAAGAACTCTTTCTCTATCCTGTAGTTTAAACAAAGTGCCTATGTCCATGAAGGTAACCTATCATGCCAGTTATCTATGAAGACACTGACTGAAGAAGAAACAAAAGGTTTATATTTTGAGTGAATTTAAACCAATATTTCAAAAAATCAAAATCACTTTATTGAAAAGAACTTATGATGGACAGAACGCAGGTTGATGAGTTATAAAAACAGGATATGAAGCTATTTGCTTTTCTAGTTTTAACTCTATCATGGATTTCTTCTTTGTTTTCTGGTGGATATGTGCATAAAAACATAATTGATGATGAAAGTATAAACTCCAAAGTGAAGCTTCGTGGCTACTTTAACTTTTGTACAAAGGTTCATTCAGATGTATAGGCACTGGGTCTAGGCAAGTGCCTGTTTTAATGACTAAGTTAATATAGATGTGCCAGGTGTTTTATGGGGAAAGTTTTCATCCTAAATTTTGGATAATGAAGATTTTCATGCTATATAAAATGCACTGTTTTCTTCCTGAGTGACATCAATAACAAAATATGCAGAAATAACCCTGCTCTCTGCACTGTGTCAGGCTAACACGGTGCTGGGTAGAACTAAATAATGTGTAATGATACCAGAGTAAGAAATGAATTAAAGTTAGACCAAGACCTAGGCTGGGCCAGTGTGAACATATTAACAGTGAGGTGGCCATATACTCAGCCCATGGGCAATCAGTAAAGTGTCAACCTCTTCTCAGGAGTTCTTATAAATAGATAATTCATGGACTCACCAATACATTAATTTCAAATGAAATAGGAATTTTCTGTCTCCACTGAAAATATACACATTTGTTCCACAAATATATGCAATGCATCAGCCATGTGAATACATTGTTCTATCGCTAAGTATTTACCAGGAAACAAAATACTACCCCAAACCCCTCACCCCTCACAGATGTCATTATAGCATTCATTTTTCAGTGATATTCTTAAATATAGGTTCCTAGAACTTTAAGAAGAAATTTATCATGTTCTTGAGGCTTCAGATTTCCATATAGATAGGATGATGATGGTGAAGTTTTAAAACTGGGCTGTAGAGCGTCTATTGGCTTTGCTGTGGGATAAGAGAAAACCAGGGTGCTGATTTTTCCTGGTTGGGAGAAAAGGACACAAGATTTGGTAGTAGCAAGCAGATGGGAGATTCAGTCATTCAACAAACCTTCATGGAGTAAGTACTCTAAAATATTCCAATATATTAACTGAATAATTCCTTTCTAAGACATTCTGTTACTACCTCAGATTTGAAAAAGCTACTCTACATCCGGGTATGTTCTTAGGAGGAATAGTTGGGAAATGATGCTGTAGAAATAGCTGCAACTTTCACAGCACATGTGGATGCATTCTCCACAAATGAGAAGTTTACATATCACCATGTTCAGTGATCTTCATGGATTTGGATTTTATACAGTTATTATGCCTATTGCAATGGATTAAATGTCCCCTCTCCCTGAAAGGCTCTTAGGTTGTCAGCATGGTCTCTAGAATGGCACTACTGGAAGGTGGTGTAGAACCTATAAGGGGTGGAGCCTCTGGAAAGTCCTTAGATTGATCAGCAGAATACCCTGGGAGGGAACTGTAGTACCTCTCTGGCTTTCTGTTTAGGATGTGACCTCTTCCACACCTGGCTCTGCCATAGCCATCTGTCATGATGTGATATACCTGAGAGGGTCCTCACCAGAGTGGAACTGATACAGATATCCTGCCCCTGACCTCCAGAACTGTGGGCTTCTTCATAAGGAGTCACCTAAGATATTTTGTTATCACAGCAAAAAACTGGCGAATATAGTGCTGGCATCAAGGCTCTTAATATCAAGGTAAACACGAGCTATGTGAGGCTGGAAGGCTGTGGCTAGCCTGCTCTTACCATGACTGAGATGTGGAGGATCCTCAGTTCCTCTTCTGCTGACTCATGTTGGGGTTCTTCAGTTGGGTCTTGCCCAGGGAGACTTGGAGCGCCATCTTGGTGATGGATGTGAAAAAGCAAAGTACCGTTCTCCAGCCATTGCTGCCTCCAGCGCACCAGAGGGATGTCTTCCGTGTTCCCTGAGATCTCTAGAGGAAAACCACCGAAGTCACAGGGTGAGATTTCGGACTGGACCAAGATTCCATATTTCTGGTTTTCTAGTACCAACAAGCCAATTCTTTCTGCAGACAACAAAGGATTCTGACTACAGTTAGGTCAGACATATTGCTGCTTATAAAACTCAAGAAAGACAACAGATCTAGAGAAGAGGAGAATTATCCCTCACAGGTCTTTCTATGATAAATCTAGTGAGCCAGGCTCTCACCTAGTAAGAAAAATACTGAGGTGAAAATTCAAGTTCCTCCTCTTGTTCTGTGATCCATAGCACCCTTTACATCGTACAGTTTGAATACCTGATAACCCCCCGGGGTAAATATAAGGTTGTTTGCACCTTGTAAATCTGAACGTATGAGTTCCTCAGCAATTACTCCTAGGTGCCAGTGAATCTACCAAGGAGAGAGTTGGTAATTACCGTACAGAGAACCAGCATTTATGGAGCAGTCCTGGGAGGTTACTGAAGAGCCATTGGGGGCTGTCAGCCTGTTTGTGAAGCCATACTCATGGACTGCGTAGTCCACTGGAGATGTCTGATAACTTGTCATAACAGGAAAAGAAATGTTTTAATTCTTTTTTGCTTTCCTCTTTTAGTTTTGCAAAGCAGATGTGTTGTGTGAAGAAATTGGTGTGAATTGGACCCTGGTCACAGGTATAAAGATTCACTTGTTTTTCAGGGATTTAGATAAGAGCTAGACTATTATCAATAGAAAAATACCCAAAAAACAATTTTGCCTTTTGCACTATAGTACAGGCTATGGTGCTGCTGCAGAAACACCCTGGGGATATACCCTCTTTTCCCTTATTCCTAAGCAATATCACATCAGAGTCCTGGGGCATTCCATAGCAGAGAAAACTGATTAATCCATCTTTTCTAGGACTTTGTTTAGCCTTCATACCATGTTTCCTTTAACAACTATTACAACCTCAAAGGGGGACCAGTGTTCTGCAATACATACTTTAACAAATCATTACTTTATAAAATTTCATTTTTAAAAGGCATGCTTTTTCTCTCAAAATTTATTACCTTTAGCCAAAAAAAATTCCATAGATATAAAAAAGATTTAATAGACACATTTAGAATATATTCTCATCAAGCATCACAACCACAAGGAGGAAAGCAATTTTCAATATTTATGGAATTTATAATTATCCTTCACTATTTATGGAAGAGCTGATATTATTTATTGATTTAGCCACTCATTTAATAGACACACACTGGGCATGCACTGGGCACCAGGCCCTCTGCTAGACACTCAGGGACATTCACAGTGTTTTAAAGCAGCCCACCATGACCGAATATGCATAATGAATCCTGTAGGACCGTGACAGGAGAAACTGACCTCAGTAAAGCATACAGGATCATAAGAAAGTGGTCTTCACTGAGGAAATAGTTGCTTCATGGTAAGTGGGGAAGGGAAAGGGATGATTAGGCAACTAACGAATGAGGATAAGATGGAGGAACAGACATACATATCCATTGGTCTTCTCTGTAGGTCACTGAGGTTCTTCTATATGGAACACAAGTCATTGGCCTAACCCTGAAAGACACTGGTATGATGGCCTCACTCATTGAACATCACATTCACCAGGGAGAAGAGTAAACATGAGATTATGAGGCAGAGCCACCAACAAAGTATCCCCTTTTATGCTTAGCCCTTCTTTTCTATTGCCTACAAGGTACTGTCATCTGTTAGGTTGGTGTATCATCTGTGATCTTGCATGTGATTGGCCTAGAATCCAGAGAGCTTCAGAAAGTAAAGAGACTGAGAAGGGAAGATTTGCATTTCAGACCTGGTTTTCAGAAGGCACCTCTGTATTTGCTTCATGTAATGGTGACCCTGGCTTCCCACATCCACCATTCCTCTAAAGAGTCTTCCACATTCTGAAGTGAGGAAACATCCTTAGATACCTGTCTGAAGGTAAGCATTTAAAGCAGCAGGAGTCAAACAAATTGAGTGCAGGCCCAATAATTACTGGATCTTCTGGGCACATGGCTGTATATCCTACAGGCACCCATCATACCTTCTCATCCATCAACATACTAGAAGACTCCTAAAAATGCACCCTCCCCTGGAAATGCATCCTCCTAAGCCCTTGTTCCACCACAGCACTAGGAACCAAACTCTGTATCCATCTCAGCAGAGATAAAAATCATCAGCATTCCAGTTCCTAGTAGTGATTTGATGGCATAATCAAGCCCAGCTTCTTTTCAGAACCATCTCCACCCAGTCTAAGATTTATTCCATACATGTCTGGGTACCACTCAGCCCCTTCTGTAACTATTCAGAAGGACATAGCACCTGTCCCTTTAAATTACTTCACAAACTAGATTTTGTTTCCCAGCAGATCTTCATCAAGCAGGTCAGACTCATTACCTCTGCTTTAACCATGCAAGCAAAGACAGGGAAATGCCTGGACCAAAGTCAATGAACCTGACACAGAACAGGGACAGGGGCAGATGAACCATTAGATGCCCTCTACTCTTTTCACAAAAGCCGACAGCATGACCTCAGAATATGGAGAGAAGAGAGAGAGAGAGAGAGAGAGAGAGAGAGAGAGAGAGAGAGAGAGAGAGAGCTAAAGTAAGAAGGTCATGTGGTCTTTTATGAGCTTAGAGCTAGCTTTTATGAGCTAGTCTTTTGTTCCAGATCTTAGTATCACATGACATATTTTTTAAATTGAAATGCAATCTAAATGCCATAAAGTCACCTTTTAATTTGGTGTGATTTTGTGCATTCATCATGTTGTATAACCATCACCCACTGTCTAATTCTAGAACATCTTCATCAGCTCACTTTATCTATGAGCAACTACTATGTTTCAATGAGGAGGCAGGTGTTGCTTTCCACGGCACTAGGCATGGAGGTACCAAGGAAAGAGGAGGTGCCGTGAGGACCCTGAAAAAGTGCTCTACAGGGCAATGGGATTAGCACACAGAGTCTGGCAGTGGCTTCCAGGCTAACTCTCTCAATCCTTCTGTGGATTATTCATTGCCATCCCTGTGATTGGTGATATCGTAATTCTGCACAGACTTGGCTAACTGTAGAGGGCAAGAGGTGAAGGAAAGAGGGCATCATGTCTGCCATGGGCATTCATCAATTCTTAGTTTCAAGATAATTACACAATGATAGCTTCTTCCTTGGCTTTTTTCCCTCTCCTCATAGGATCTGACACAAAAGAGCTCAAATGCTAAACTAACAACATATTTATACTTATGCTATATCTGGCCTGATTAACGGATGAAAGACGACACAGGACATAGTAAATGCCCTGCCAACTTCTTCACCAACAAGACTGAGACCTGAGCTTGGAATGTTAATGTAAACATGTTGGTGTGAATGCCACTATCTCAATAAGAAGAACTGTAATTCAAGCCAGTCCTGAGACTCCAAGGATCAAATTGGGGAGGTGATAACAATGATACTCCAAACCAAGCCACAGAGGATTGGCACTGAGGCTCACTCAGGACCTTTACAGCAATTTACTGAAAAAAAAAAGAAATTCCAATAGGGCCTCTGTGGTTATTTCCAGATGTTATGGGTGCCACAGTTGTCACAAGCACTGATCCTTTCAGCACACAGTAGGGCTGAGGTCTCCAGAAAGGGAGGGCTGTCCCAGCTCTTCCCATGTCTAGCCTTGCTTCTACAAACCTCACATCTTTAGTACCTCCCCAAACCCTGCAATACAAAGAAAGCAGAGTGCTGCTCCTTTTTATATACAACAAATATTCCAGGATCACACTAGGTTTGTCACAGTTGGAAATTAACTATGCACGTCTACTCTCATGGAGCAAGAAACTTCAGATGTGGCCAGGGCTAAGTGACAGCCATGCTGAGTGTCAGGTGAAACTTGGCTGTGCAAACACTGATGGGAAGTAGTAAAATGGTGGAAAATGCTGGAGACACAATCCCAGCTGAAGACCATAGTATGTGCAAAGGAACAGAAGGATGATGCACATTGTCAGAATCACAGGAGGTCTGGTTAAGCTGCAGGGGTGTGGGATATGTAGAAGAACCACAGAGGACCTACTCTCAGAATCCAGATAAATGGCACTTGTAAGAGTCTTGAATGCTATCTTAAGGAGTTCACATCTAGGGGAAAGTCATTCACAATTCTATTAGGCAGAAGCATGAGCCAAGCTAATGATCAGTAAGACTCAGAATGAGAATGGCTGATATACCAGATCTATGTGTCACTGCAGCTCTGATTCTGCATTCTTCAGTGACTAAATAGAGAAGTGGAACTCAGGAGGCCTAGGCATGATCTGAGGAACTTTGAATAATCTCCCTTCCTCATCTCTGGGAAGACGCAATCATGCAGATGAACTTCAAGACTCCTTTGTAACTTTGATAATCATATGGTCTGTCTCCAGAAAGCATAAGTTTGACATCACAGATAATGTCAGACCTCTTCTTGGGTCTGACCTACGTTCCACCCTGGGTTGAGAAGATATGGGCATAGACTCCAAGATATAGACCCAACTTCACGCTCTACCCCAGTCTATTGAGGAAGATCCTCATCATGCTGTTGCATATATCTGGTTTCTAAGAGAGAACATTGGAGTTTCACGCCCCAGAGAGCCGCACTGGTGGGACGTTGGGCAGGGAACATCCTAGAAGAGAAAAGCTTGGGTTGGAAAAGATAGAGTGAGATGATATCACTTTTAATTAGTCTTAGTCATTGTTCTAATGATAGTTTGTGGGCTGGGAGTTTGTAGTCTCTTTGTGGGGTTACTTCAGGACACTCAAAACTTTGCTGCAAAAATTGTTCTACCTGAATTACAACATGCCCTTACTATCCACATGCCTTTTCCCTTATTTGTGCATATCTTCATGCTGAGAGAATCTGATCTGAGTTGTTAAGAAACATCAAGTCAATATCAGAATTTCCTTCCAAGCACCAGATCTGCCATGCCCTCCTTCAATGAACTAGACAATTCCAATTGGAGTATGGATTTAATTGGGAAACTTCT